CTCTGCCACCATCCACCAGTGCACAATTCAGATGGTACCAGTACGGTAATTTATCAGAGAACTAACTCAACGTGGGCCTTGCTCTCACTGTATGTTAGGGATGGGGAACCTCAGGCTCAGGGGGGAAATTTGAAACAAACACACACACATCCAGGCCACATTCCCTCCCAAGCCATGTTCCTGGCCAGCCTGGTTTTGTAGCCTCCAAGAGCGTTTCTACCTGGCTGGAATGCAGCCTTGAAGTCCGACAATGCTGCTTCCTTGCACTGGAGGAGGAAGAGGAGTGCGGGGGGAGTGCACCGCCCCCAGCGGCATGATCCCGATTGGGTGCCATCGCGGCTGTCCCCCCCCCCCCCGCCTGCACCGGGTGCCATGCCCCCACAGGGGCTGTGCCTGTTGAAAAAATGCCCCCAGGAAGGGTGCCACCTTCCTCTCTCAGGTGGTCACTCTCTGGCTGGAATCCTCCCTCAGTCCAGAGAGACCGGTAATAAGTGACCCCTCCCTCCTGAGAGGAGCACACTAATCTTCTGGCATTCCATGACAGAAGAAACAGTCTGTAGGCTAACACACTACTTTATTAAGACTGTACAACACGGAGCTAATACAAGCATGTCTGCTCTCCTGAGCAGCTACGGCTCGACTATCAAGCTTCTACCTCAGAAGTGAAAGTACGTTCTCAAGTTACACGCTGAGAACTTAGCACTGAGAACCAGCTGAGACTTCCTGTCTCACACTCAGACACATCACATGATGTAAACAATGTGCTGCTACCTCGCAGCTGGTGGGAACTCAATTCCCAACATCGCCATGCCCCTGCGGGCAGCGCCCCACGCCCCAAGGACACACGCCCCGCCCCTGGGGGCAGCGCGCCCCACCCCGGGATGCACACCAACCCCGCCCCCGCCTGCTCTCCGCCCCGCTCCCCCCCCCCCGTGCCAGAGCATGAAGCTCCACCACTGCTTCCTTGCCCAAATGAAGGATAGAGAAGGGTGCATGAGTGTTTGTAGAAATTAGCCCTAACGGTCAAAGGTAAAATTTGCATTAATAGCTCCACCCACTTTTGCCTGTGGCCCCTCCTACCACTGGTATGTGGCCCCCAGAAAGGAAAGTGGCCCTTGAATTCCCTTTCCCTGCTTTATGCAGACACCACCCCTCTCTCCTCTATGCTCTGGCACACCAGGAGGGCTAGGCGGGCAAGTGACATGAATCTTTCACTGCTTCTCAGGTTTTGGAGACATTCTGAAGCAGCGAGAATCTTGCTGCATGAAATAAAGGGCTGCTTCCTTCAATCTCCCGTGCCAGAGGGCAGGCGTGCCAGCTTTGGGGTGGCCGGTTGCACATGCATGACGTCACAAGCGCGACACACACACCCCAGTCCAGCCAGGCCTGCCAGGACACACAGACGCCCCTTTGAGAATCTCCAGAGCACCTTCCCGGAAGGCGCTCTGGTGATTGCGACGGGGAGTGTGGAGGGTTAAAGTCACCCTCCATGTCTCCTGCCACCACCTGACATGCTGGGGCTCACCCAGGGGTGACGGTAGTGCCAGAGGTGGCAGGGGATGGCAGCCCCGTCAATATTGGAGGGGCTCAACCCCCTGCATAGAAATCCTTCTGCCCCCTATAGCTGGTGCACCTGTCAGAAGGTTTGGTGATGGCCAGTAATGGATGGGTATCAGCAAATAACTGCTGGCTACCAAGGCTAAGTGTGTGGGCCCCTGTTTCCTAACTAATGACCTATCAGCTATGGTGAGTGGCAGAAAAGTGGAGTTCCATTTCTTGCCGATAAACTCCTTAGCTTTTCTCCCACCACTCAATGGCAGGAGGCAGAGGCAGGAGTAAGGATTGCTTTCTTCCTCACCCAACCACATGCTGCATTTAGGGTAGTGAGGACACCTGAGTGAGGGGAGATCAAGGGCAAGACCTGCTCCATGTTCCTGGTGTCTTTCAGCTTTGGAAAATAAGTTTGCTCCTTCCTGCATTGCCTTCATCCACACAGCCTCAGGTTGGGCTTTCTTGTTGGTCACACAAGAGCACAACACAAAGCTACAGTGGAACCTCAGGTTGTGAACATGATCCATGCGGGAGGCATGTTCAAAGCCCACAGTGTTCGCAACCCGCAGCGCCACATCTGCGCACACGCATGACACAATTCGGCGCTTCTGTGCATGCGCGAGCACCGAAACCCAGAAGTAACCCGTTCCAGTATTTCCGGGTTTTGGCGCATCCGTAAACTGAAAACGCGTAACCCGAAGCGTCTGTAACCCGAGGTACCACTGTATATTGAATCCTATCTGATGGCCCAGCAGTGTCCTCAAGGGCGTTTGCCAACTAATTTACATATAAAAATGGATTTAATCGCACAGCAATAAAGTCAAACAGATAATAAAACAGCTACATCCAGTAAAAGGCAGCTTGCAAACAGCAGACACACGCAGTCACTATCACTGCCCGCTTTGGGACATAACCAGGTCATAGAACCAACCTTCTAAATGTCAAAAGGTAACAAGCCAGGCAAGTCTCCCTAAGGAACAAAACTGGCAAGCAGGGAGCCAGCGCTGAAAAGGTCCTGCTCCTTCTAACTATTATCTTCATTTGCCTGTGGCCCTCAGAACAAGGGCTCATCAGGTGACTTAATTATATAGCGATATTACTACTCTGAGGAGGAGGTAGAGGATAGTAGGCCTCAAATCTCATAGACAAGAACCACTGTTCCCGCTATGCCTGCTATTCGTCTCCCTAGCTGGCCAAATTTTATGTTTTGGTCAAGGGGCCAGGTTTGGGTGAAGGGCTGCCAGTTGCTGACCCTCAGGCTTTGCCTTTAAGGTGTTTTGCAACCAATTAATAGGTTTCCGGTTGAGAGCGCTTGGTTTTCCGGGGCCAAGCAAGCCACCACAACTCTTTACACACGAGCTGGGCTTTCCATCGCCTTGTTGATGGATGCTTTCTTCTACTTACCTGCCAGTTATTCTCTCTCTCTCTCTCTCTCTCTCTCTCTCTCTCTCTCTCTCTTTATTACTTTTTCCTCTGTGCATTTCATGGCTCATAGCCCCCTCGTAGAAAGACGCTTGCGGCCCTTTTCAATTAGCAGTCTTGTTTCTCAGCCGTCCCTTCGAATCCCGTTTACATTCCGGTGACGTTGTTGACTGACTGCACTGTGCCTGTTTTATGTCTACAGAGTGACACAAGTTATGTCGCGCGATGGGCTTAATGTTCCAGAACGGCATGACAATTGTTGCCTTTTCTGCCTGCTCTCATTTGGTAACGACGCAAATTCTCGATAGCAAGCTATCATGGTTAAATACATTTTGATAAATAGCCATAGCCGGGCAACGCTTGCTTACATCACTTCTCCATAGGAAATGAAGCTCACCTTACACAGTCTAGCATACATTGCACTAAATCATATTCTTAGCTTGGTAGTCAGATAAAGTTGCAGTCCTAAGGCTATATCCAACAGGATGAGTGGGAGGGTTAGGATCCAGTGGATCTCTGGCTATGCCCACGTCAATATCCAGCTAACGCCTCCTATCAGTGCAAGGATTCCCACTTGTACAACAGGGGTTTCCCCTGTCAAGACTCAAGGTGAGCTGAACTACGTATTATGGAGGGGGAGCTGAAATGGAGCCAACATTTTTGGCAACATCCCTGCGTTTCTGATCAGGCTCAGAGCCACCTGATTCTTGCAAAAAGTGGCGTCTCCGCGGCCCCAGATTCAATCCCTGGAATTTCCAACTTTAAAAGGATCTTCCTGTCATAAATGTCAAGGCAGACCCTCTGCCTGCAAGCCTGGAGAAAATGGACAATATGGGGTTCAATGGGATAAGGCCACTTCCTGTGTCCCTCTTCTGTTGATTTCTTTTACATTTGAAGCACTTTATTTTATTCTTATCATTTTATTCCTGTAATTTATATATCCTGTCCTTCTAGTTCACAATATACTCAAGGCAGCTCAGAAGGATTTAACATATCATAAAATGAAATAATTAAGCAAATCCCAGCAGTAAAACAGGGATGAGTAAAAGGTAGCAGTCAATTTCAAAAAGCATTAAGAGCCAGGACTTTTTTTAAAAAAATCCAACTAAAATAAAAGTTTTCCAAGCTCACTTGCAAGTGGGCAACCATGCGGTCTGGCAGCCATTCTCTCCTGGGAGGCTGTTTCACAATCCGGGAGCCACCACCGAAAAGGCTTTGTTCCTTTTTGGTGGAGGATACACAGAGAGGTGCTTCAGTAAGATACTTAGATTGCCAACCACTGAGAGCTCAAAACCAGCACTGTGAATTGAGCAACTGGTCAAGTTGATGAAGGACCAGTGAAACATGAGCCAACCTGTTGGCACCAGCCAACCACATTCAGCCACCACATTCTGGACAATTTGGATTTTTCAGACTATTGTTAAGGGAAGCCCCACATAAAGCACATTTCAGTAATGCAGCCAGGAAATTTGTGCAACGCGAAAAGCAGGGTCCAGCTTTGAGAACTGCCATTCAGTCGCAGAACACATTTTGCAAGATACTCCCGTGAGATTGCTCTAGTGTGAGTGATTTAGGCCTTTGCAACCAATCTGCAAATCATCCCTCTCTACAGCTGAAAACATTTCATCAGCAGATGTCTGTGGCACATTTCGGGTGCCGGTGATTTCTTTCACCCCCACGACCAGGTCCGAGCAAACTGTTTAGGAAACATCAGCTGTGGAAACCTTACAAGCCTGCTCTCCCGTGAGACAGGCCCTGGCAGCGGAACTGTCAGTCCTTTTAGAGGGTTTATTGATTAAGTGTGAACTCCACATAAGAATGTATTGTTTTCAACCTCAGAAATATTTACCAAAAAATCAGGGATCATGATCTGCTGGACAAAAGGAAAACAGTCACCGCTCTCAAAGCAGGGGAGGACCGGGCCATACTGCTGGGACTGACTATGATGGTGTGTTCGATTATGATGTACTTCCTCCTGGGAATCACGCTGCTGAGGTCATACATGCAAAGGTAAATGCTTTTCCCCTCTCACACACACAGCAAAATTGTTTTGAGGGGCAGGAGCAAGGCTGAGAGGTGAACAATTGGATAAGGAGCTAGTGGAACTACCTGGGTTTGTTACTAACAGGTAATATGGGTTGGAGATTCTGTGGGGCATACCCTCCAACATTTATCCGATGAAAACAGGGACGTCCCATTCCATAATGATAATTTTACTATTTATACCCCACAAACCTTACTGGGCTGCCCCAGCCACTCTGGACAGCTTTCAGCATATATAAAAACATAATGAAACATTAAACTTTTTAAAAACTTCCTTATACAGTCAAACCTAAGTTCCTGAACACCTCCGTTTTGTAACATTTCGGCTCCCAAATGTTGAAAACCCAGTTTTTGAATGAATTTGAAAGACTCCAGTTTTAAAATGAATTTTGGAAGCCAAACTGCTTCCGAGCTGTGTTTTGCATTTTTTTCCCATTGACTTTGCAGCCAGCTCATTGATCCTCGGTTTTTGAACTTTTCGGAAGCCTAACAGTCTTCCAGAACGGATTAAGTTTGAAAACCGAGGTTCCATTGTACAGGATTGCCTTCAGACAGTTTGGGGGTCGGATAACTCCATGCCCTACCAAACATTTCCCCAATGAGAATAGGGACATCATACCATACCCTCCAGGGACGTGGGTGGTGCTGTGGATTAAACCACAGAGCCTAGGGCTTGCCGATCAGAAGGTCGGCGGTTTGAATCCTTGCAACGGGGTGAGCTCCCATTGCTCGGTCCCAGCTCCTGCCCACCTAGCAGTACGAAAGCACGTAAAAGTGCAAGTAGATAAATAGGTACCACTCCAGTGGGAAGGTAAACGACGTTTCCATGCACTGCTCTGGTTCGCCAGAAGTGGCTTAGTCATGCTGGCCACATGACCTGGAAAAACGTGTTTGCGGACAAACGTCGGCTCCCTCCACCAATAAAGCGAGATGAGTGCTGCAACCCCAGAGTCGTCTGTGACTGGACCTAATGGTCAGGGGTCCCTTTATCTTTTACCATACCCTCCAACATTTCTCCAGTTAAAACAGGGACGTCCTAAGAAAAAGCGGGACCTTCTGGCATCAAATCAGAAACCGGGATGGCTTCTTTTAAATCAGGGATGTCCCTGGGAAATAGGGACACTTGGACAGTGAAATTGGCATGTTGTGAATTTCGGGCAAATGACCATGTGAAGGACACTTGTAGAAGCGTGAGCTTTGTGGGTGCTGAAGCAGTCACACCATTCCTTCAACACTGTATGGATCACATAATAATAATAATAATAATAATAATAATAATAATAATAATAATAATAATTTATTTATTTATTTATTTATTTATTCCCCGCCCATCTGGCTGGGCTTCCCCAGCCACTCTGGGCAGCTTCCAACAAAATATTAAAATACAGTAATCCATCAAACATTAAAGCCTTCCCTAAACAGGGCTGCCTTCAGATGTCTTCTAAAAGTCTGGTAGTTGTTTTTTCCTTTGACATCTGTTGGGAGGGTGTTCCACAGGGCAGGTGCCACTACTGAGAAGGCCCTCTGCCTGGTTTCCTGTAACTTGGCTTCTCGCAGTTAGGGAACCGCCATAAGGCCCTCGGTGCTGGATCTCAGTGTCTGGGCGGAACAATGGGGGTGGAGACGCTCCTTCAGGTATACTGGGCTGAGGCCGTTTAGGGCTTTAAAGGTCAGCACCAACACTTTGAATTGTGTTCAGAAACGTACTGGGACTATTTCCATAATAGTCCTTCATTCAAACATTTTATTATTGATTGCATTGCATTTATATATGCTTTTTCTGCCAAGGCACCAAGGTGGTTTACATAAATAAATGTTATAAAATGTCAAGTTGGCCCGAAGAGGGACGATTCCAGCTGGAGAAGGCCTCTCTCACTTTCTTCTTCCTTCCCATGGGGCAGATGGTGTCAGTTGAGCGCCTATGAGCTTTAAGCATTTGCTGTGATGTAGAGTTGGGAAGGTTGCCACCAAATACTTCAACCACCAAACAAGCAGGGCACTTTATTTATTGATAGTGTACAACTAAACCTAGAAGAAAAATGGCTGCCATTCTGGGGTGCACTTCTCGTATCCGGTTACACTGTGTTCCCCCTATGCAAAACGAAGCATCACTTCAGTTCCTACTCTACTCTAGAGCAGGCCTGGCTCACTTAGGATCCATCTATTCATTTACAATATAGGGTTGTGTTTTCATTTTAAAAGTGGCACAGGACATCCCTCACAGCAATGGAGACATGGGCAGAGCTTGCTACCACAACAGTACTCAGTTCCTAGTGGGGGCATTTAGCCTCATATATTTTATCTCCTTCCTTTGTCATTGTTTAGCCTTGGATTAAGCAGCACAGCAGAGAAATGAAAAGATTTGGCAGCCTTTCCCTCACAGTATGAGGTTTCGACTAATATCCTTATCGGCTAATCTATGTCCCACTGAAGTCCATAAAACGTTGAGCGTCTATCACCGCAAAACACAGCCCTGGCCTAATTCAGCAGGGAGCGGCAGTAATAATCAGCGGCCTAGAGAAAACTATAAGCTTTCAAATGGAAGGAAAATGGAAGTTTAATTTGTAAAAAGGATCAAGCTATTTTGCAGCACTTTGAGGGGTTATTTCTTCCTTCTGGTGTAAGACTAATGCCTTCCTCCTCACAAGTGGAAATCCTGCTGATCTATATAATAATTTTCCTCAAAGTGAGACACTCACTACATATCCTAGCAATAATTTTGCTAGAGATGAGATCACTTGTGTGTTTTTTCTGCTTCATCTTTCCTGCAGCCCTTCTGCTTGCTTGCTCCCCATAGGCATCTTGTGTTATGGGGGTGCTGGACAAGATGGGTCAGTGACCTGACCCAGTGAGGTTTTCTTTGGTTCTTAAATTATTGGAGTTCTTTATCTTCAAAACAGACTTGGACCAGATAGGCCTTCAAATAGAGGCTGGCTTCAGTTGGAAGACTGTCCCAGCCCTTCAGATGGAGGCATGTCCTAGGACATGTTGCCATCCCGTTGAATTTATCTGACCCCTTTTTAAAGCCAAAAACAACCCCCACACACAGACACAAAACATTCTACCTCACTGGGATCTTGTCAGACTCCACTACTTTTTAGACCGCATGATGCTTTGATATTCATGGAAGGAGTCTGGAGTGCCATGTGGGTTAACAACATCACCAGTGATTGCAGAGGAATAATTTGACCTTAACTGTAATTGGCAGGGATGTCTAATTAAGGATCCCTGAAAAGCGGGTGGTTTTGGAATTTAAATACCACTGGCTTCCTAGCCAGGTTTCTCTCTAAAGGTTTCTGAGGCGCAGCAGTTTCTACAGATCTTTGCTGAAATGATTTAGGAAACATTACTCAAATTATGGGGAGAAGGAAGCTGTCATTTGTAACATGGCCTGCAGTTTTGGGCTACGTAAACCTGAGCACAGGGAGACTTGCATCAGCATTAGCAGGGCTGTCTTCAGCATATGCAGGGCTGGGGTGCAAAGACCCACACACACCCCAGGTTGCCCAGTCCCAGGCATGCAGGAGGGCAGAGCCGGCTGGCCACCTCAGCATCTCACTGGCTTGGTCGCCCCCGAACTCGTAGCACAGAGCCGCCTGCAGCAGAAGAGCCTGCCATGGCTCTCCGACCGACAAGCGGGCTCTTCTCCAGACTCAACTTGCAGGCTCTGGACTCTTGGCCTGGCGCCCCTGAGATCTCGGCGCCTGAGTGCGCTGCACCCCTAGCGCCTATGGGTAAGATGGCCCTAAGCATTAGGAGGAATAGTTCATACCTTCCAACCAGGGCTTTTTTCCGGCTGAAACTAAAGGGAACTCAGTTCCGTCACCTCTCAGGTGGGCGCCATTACCATTATAAGAGAACAAGGGAGGCAGTTATGGTGAGTTCCAGCAACTCTTTTTCTATAAAAATAGCACTGCCTCCAACATATCTCTGATTAAATAGGGATGTCCTGCCATACCCTCCAACATTTATCGCATGAAAATAGGGATGTCCTAAGGAAAAGTGGGACGTTCTGGGATCAAATCAAAAACCGGGAAGGCTTCTGTAAATCTGGGACTGTCCCTGGAAAATAGGGACACTTGGAGGGTTTGATCATTTTTAAAAGCCAAACCAGTTGAAGAGATAGATTAGATAAATAGATAGATAGATGATAGATGATAGATGATAGATGATAGATAGATGATAGATAGATAGATGATAGATAGATAGATAGATGATAGATAGATAGATAGATAGATAGATAGATAGATAGATGATAGATAGATAGATAGATAGATAGATAGATAGATAGATAGATAGATAGATAGATGATAGATAGATAGATGATAGATAGATAGATGATAGATAGATAATAATGATGATAGATAGATAGATAGATAGATAGATAGATAGATAGATAGATGATAGATAGATAGATAGATAGATGATAGATAGATAGATATAGATGATAGATAGATAGATAGATAGATAGATAGATAGATAGATAGATGATAGATGATAGATAGATAGATAGATAGATAGATAGATAGATAGATATAGACAGACAGACAGATATCTCAAACACCTGTGAATGTTTAGCAGAAACCTGTCATAAGCAGACACAGTTGAATGAAGCAGACAAAACCCCGAGAGAATTCTGGTAAAATTGTATTAAATAACATAAGAGCCCACTGGATTAAGCCCATTAATGGCCATCTATCTAGTCTAGCATCCTGTTCTCACAGTGGTCAACGACATGCCTGTGGGAAACCTGCCATCAGGATTCGAGCACAAGAGCCCTTTCCCTCTGTGGTTTCCAGCAACTGGCATTCAAAAGTATTGCTGCCTCCAGCTGGAAGCCATTGGTAGCCTCATTCTCCCCCAGTAATTTTTCCAATCCTCTTTTCAAGCCATCTAGGGAGGGAGAAAAACTTCATTTTGGTGGCTCTTTTCTCAGCCTTATTTACTTATCTAATTGCCATTTTGTGGTTCGCCTCAGGTTTTCCCAGACCACGTCCAGGAAACAGGCAATAAAATGTCATCAACAACTTTGACACACAACACACACACACACACACACACACACACAAAACCTCAACAATTTTGTCCTGATTTTCACTTTGGGGGATATGGCAACCCTACTAAATGTCCTGGGCTGGTCCTGAATGGATTACATTCAAAAACCGAGGTACCACTGTAATAGTTGCAATAGTAATAGACAGCATAAAAATAATCATAATAACAGTCCCCACCCCTTTAACAGGCCATAGATTATTTAATGGCCGAAGTCAGCATGTATAGCCATATATAATAGGTCAACACCAGTACTTTGAATTCAGCCCAGAAACTAATTGGCTGCCCATGGTGTTACAGGCTCAAACCATCTTGTTCTGGTGAGTAATCTGGCCATGGAATTTTGTGGTATTCCAATCTTTTAAGCCTTTTCTCTGTCCAAATTCTCTTTCCCTCTTTCCTGGCCAGTGTTTGGACAGCAGAGACACAGTGCACGCTCCTCAACATCTCCATCACAGAAACCTTCAACTGCTCGTTCAGCTGTGGTCCGGACTGCTTGAAAACCTCTCAGTACCCGTGCTTGCAAGTGTACGTCAACGTATCGTCTTCGGGGCAGAAGTGCTTGCTTTACCACACAGAAGAGACAATGAAAATTAATTCTGAGGTAAGAACAAATCCAATTGCTCCTCCATTTTCAGGGCAAATGGACTCGATATTTGCTAAGCAGGGGAACTGGAGAACCTGTGGTCTTCCAAATGTTGCTGGACTGCAAGGCCCATTAATCCTAAACATTGACCATACTGGCTTGAGGTGATAGGAACTGGAGCCCTTCAACATCTGGAGGGCCACAGGACCCCCATCCCTGGTTTATATTGACTGACAACATCTCTACGGGTTCCAGGCTGCAGTTTTTCCCAGCACTGCCAAGGGATACCAGGGATAGAGCCTGGGACCTCTGGCATATAGAACATGTGCTCAGACGCCAAGCTACAGCCCTATTTCCTTCCATACTGAAAAGAGAACGAGCTTTACAATGCAGAGAGTATATATTTGTGTGTAGAACGCTGCCTGCCGAACGGCAAGTACATCTGTACCAATGCCACATTACCTGCACATCACAGCGCCATTCTGTAATGTGCCTCTCTCTCTCTCCAGATGGCTGTTTGTCTGTCTTTGTGTAAAGCGGCACAGTAGGTCCCTTGACTCTGCATGGATGATGTTCAGGCAAATGTATCTATTCATTATCTATACCCAGGCACTCAGAGATGCAGCGGTCCTTGTTACATAGAGATTTAATTGCCCGAGATAGGGTGAAATCAGATACTAGAGCCCAGATCCCAGTAATTGCTGGCAGATGTATAATTGCAAACGCCAGCATAACAAACGTTGGGTTAACAGCCTGTTTTGTGATGTTCCACTGGCACAGCAGGAGGTCCGCCCCACAGCAAGCACACACGGAGGCACTGCGATGCTTCAGGCCTTTCTAGGCAATTGTTTCGACCCGTTTTGCAATGAGAACACAGCTGCTCTTCAGTCATTGCAGCAGCTTCAGCATCTACAGCCAGTGCATGAAGCTCCCTGAGTGCATTGGGCCAGTCACTGCCACTCCACCTGCCTTACAGGGTTGTTGTGAGAATAAAAGAAGCGGGGAGGAAGAACCAGTGCTTTCCTTCAGCCAGATCGCATCAGAGTGCAGTTCTGGCATCTCTCAAGTGGGTGCCATTGTGGGCTGGTGCCCCACCGCCTGTTTTTTTCCTTTACATTCTTCTGAAAAACTCAAAACGAACGTTTCAAGTCAAAATGGAAGCCAACCAGCATGTGCAAGTCTACACTTTTTTTTAGATCTATGACTCCACCTAGATCCTAGCTGCTCCCAGCTGTGATTGGTCAAGCTACAGGCTATATCTATATATATAGTGATGGGATATATAGATGTTGATATTATTAAATTTTCTAATTTACATTTCAAAATATTCGTTTAAACTACCATTGATTAAAATATCAATGAGTTCCCTTCTTCTCTTTCCATGGTTCATTTTGCATACTATACATCCCTGCATATTTTACATGAACTAAACCACTCAGGAATCCATTGTTACATCCATCAAAACTTATTTACACTGTTGAATTTACCTTAATGCTACCAGCGTTTTTAAATGAACACAATTTTCACTCATATATTCAGTAAACATTTTCCAGTCTTCTTTAAATGTACATTCTTCTTGTTCTCTTATTCTACATGTTAAATCTGCAAGCTGCACATATTATTGTCATTCTTCTTCAGTTGGGACCTCACTCATTTTCCATTTTTGGGCTAACAAAACACAGGCTGCCGTAGTAGCATACATAAATAGTTTTTTTTGACACCTGGGAATTTCCCTCTGAATTATCCCCAACAAAAAGGACTCTGGTTTTATTTTGTTTTTTGAAAGGTACTTTTAAACATTTTTTTTCAATTCATTGTATATCATTTCCCAATACCCTTTTACAAGTCCACCACATATGATAAAACGTACCAACCTCATTACATCTCCAGCACTTATCTGATTCAGACTTATACATTTTAGCCAGTCTGTTCAGAATTAAATACCATCTATAAATCATTTTCAGGTAGTTCTCCTTCAAAGAATAACATGCTATGAATTTTAGGTCGCTGTTCCAAAGTTTTTCCCAGAGAAGCAGCGATGGGCTTTTGGCTTTCCAACCAGGCCTTGTGCATTGCACTTGTGCAAATTTGCACAAGGGCCCTTCCAAGCTGCCCTAGCCACCTGCCTGAATCTAACAGAATGAGGGAGGGGGGTACATTTATTTGACCTGCACCAGAACCAGGGGCAGCCCCCAAACCAGCCAGTGAGGCACCTTGCCATAGTTTTTAGCACCTCTGCGGGTGGTGAATGCAGCTGTTATCAAACCAGCATCTTTTCAGAGCTGCCCCAAGTCGCCTGGCGACTTATTATAAGAGCTTCATGGTAAGTTCCGGCACCTATTTTTATTGGGGGGGGGGGGAAGCACTGAAAAGAACGAAGTATGCTTGGATATCCCAGGTAAAGGGTGGGATAAAAATGTAATAATTTTCCATTTTTGGCTCAAACAGCAGTTCTTTCTCTAGTGCTCAATACAGCGGTATTTTAGCACTGGATAAAATGTGATTATTCCTTGTGTAGGGAATTGAAAGGGGTAAACCCACCTTGGGGCCTGTGTGCTGTCAGGGGGAGCATGCAGAACAATGCCTGTCTACCAGCCATTCCCACCCACCCGCTGCTGAAGCAGCAGTGGCATTTTCTGGGACTTTGCACTCTGCACCGAGGGAGGCAGAGAAAACGCTTGCCGTTTTTCATTCTTCAAAATGCCCATCGTTATTCCATTGTACAGACAGAATGTAGATCTTGGCCTGCAAAAAAAAGAAGAAGAAGAAAGGTGGTTCAAAGAGGGGACATATTTTTTTTAGAAGCCTCTGCTTGCCTGACACTCTTTCTATCTCTTTCTAACCAAACCAGAGGTCTCAGTATAGCCAATATTAATCCACAGCATTGCTCCAATGGCGGGTGGCAGAATCCAAAATAAGACCTTTCTTTTTGTACCAACTAAAATGGCACAAAATAGTGAGCAAGCTTTTGCATTGTGCTTCAAGCCCCAAAACCCATCCCCCATGGAAATAAAGACACAGTGGAGACAGAATTTAGTTTAAATGTTAATGGGCAATTTTTGGCCACAACTTTATTAAAATACACAAATGTGACTGCTATTGGCTTAGACATTGGTATCAAACTATACCTGGCTCCTGCCCCACCCTGCAGGAAGCCTGGAAGGGTAAACAACCAGCAGGGGGAGCTCCGTCAATGTATATTGACTGGTGCTCACCCCTGGGGTTCCCAGGGGTCCTGGCATGGCCCTAGCCCCTATCCGGGATTCGGACAAGATCCAGACCCCCGGATTCCTTTAATGGAATACCCTATTCATTGGAGGGGCAGGTGATGGCTGCACCGCACCTCCCCACATTCCCCTAAACCAATGCCTAACCGCCTAACCTTACAAAGTTGTGACGATTGCTAAGCGGTAGGCAAAAACCAAGTGGCCACAGCCAATCTGCCACACTGGAAAAAATTCCTACCCGGCCGCCATTCCAAAACAGGCGACCAACCGAAGTCCAAAGCAAGGCCAAACACTACCTAATTAACAGGTGGGCGGGCGGGTGTTCGGCAGCGCAAAGCAAAAGGAGGTCCCTACATCACACTGACAAATAAATACCCCCAACCTTGCCACGCTGCTGATTGGCTAAAGGCCATTGGCATAACTGTGGCACCACCAGCTTGGAGCAGGGCAAGCCCCGCCCACAAGCCGGTTAGGGAAGAGTTTCAGGGCCAAGCACAACATGGACACTCTGTTAGGAGGATCCAACTTACCCTTCTCTGGGCTAGATGTTAAGAAAAACAGCTAAAGAGGCAGCCAGGGAGTGCAGAGGGGGAGGTTGGGCATGATGTAAAAACCCCAAACTCTGGAGTTTGCAACTATTTAAAGACAAGAGTGCAAAAGGATGTTATGGCAGTTTAATTAGCTGTGGTGGTGCTTGGTGCAGAATAAGATGTTCAGTTATGCAAGGGTTACAGGGCTGGATAAACAACAATGGTAGTTATCATGTTTAGTTGTTGTTGTTGCTGCTGCTGTTTTAAAAACATCTGTATTTCACACTCACACAAACACCACGGGAGCAATTGTTAGCAGAAAAACAGCTAGACGGGAAATGGTTAAATAGCAATTATGCCGTTCCTTCTGCCAAGCTTATCACCTCCCAGTACCAGGCTCCTTTAAGGGCTTTTTAATGTGTCAGATAAAAGTTACCCATGGCTGCCTGCAATGTCTGGTTTGGCCCTTAGCTGCTATGCTACATTAGCTCTTGAAATCTCAAAGAGTTTCTGCCTGTTTTTATTCACACTTAAATCCCCCCAGCTGCTGCTTCCTCTTAATCTAATGCAGGTACAGTTAATGCTTGCTTGACTCAAGGCTGTTTTTACAGGTTATGATTGCCTCTCTAGGGCTTCTTCTCCTTTATCGTTCCCCATCCCGCCCTCTGACATACCATTGTGCAAACTGAATCCCAAATCAGTTTTGTTAATGCAACATCCCTTGATGGTAATGCTTGACTTCTTGACCTAGAATGGAATTTAAAATACTCTTGCCGAGTCCTTCAGCAAATCCGCTCTAGGCAGAGATGTTCCGTGTTCATCTCAGAAGCAAGACAAGCTCCGTACCCAAAGAAGTTCCTAGCAGCAAGCAGGACACAACCATGTTGTTGTTGACTTCCAATTTTTCTGGGCATGGTTACTCAAACTCCAGGCCTGGTGTGCCCTTGAACCACTCTCCTCCACCCATCGTGCATGTATCTTAAGTGGCTGAACTAGTAAGGCACAGAAAAGCTCAAGATACACGTTGATCTACCCACACTTAGTTGTTATCTCTGAGAAACGTAGAAAATAGCAGGATATATTTATACGAATTCTTCAAACTTACACAACCCCTTAAAAATTAGCTGATGAAGGTGAGTACATCGAAATAAGGCCCTGTCCTGGCTTCTGATCCATAATTGACTTCTAACTTCTGCTCAATGATTGAAACTAAGATCTTCATGTCAAATCTGACTATGGACTAACATGAACTTATCTCTACTCATAAACTCTTATCTCTAATACTGTAATGAATTATTGTGTTATACATATCCTTATGAGTTTGAGTTTGTAATCTCTGTGTGAGTTTGTAATCTCTATTCGAGTTTGTAATCCTTGTCAGAATACATACTTTTGAATAGATTAGTTTTTGTTACAACTGACTATTGATTTGCGAGTAGGGACCACTCCCACTATTGAAACTTATATTGGCCAGATTTCTTGGTGTGCTTTTTTCTTGAACTAGTAAGGCAGCAGGTAGGTAGAGCTAGAGACCATGGCAGGTGGAGCCAACTAATTTCCACTTTTGTCCCCATCTTCCTCCCTGCTGAGTTCTGCAAAGGCATAGGGAAGAGCCTGCTGTCTCAGGCCAATGACCCACCTAGTCCAGCACCTTGTTCTCACAGTGGCCAACCAGGTGCCTGTGGGAATCCATCAAGCAAGACCCAAGAACACGAGTTCTCTTCCCTCCTGTGGCATTCAGAAGCATTACTGCTTCCGACCATGAAGGCAGAGCGTAACCATCCTGGCTAGTCACCATTGATTGCCTTTCCCTCCATGATTTTGTCCTCCAATCCTCTTTTAAAGTCTTGGAAGTTGGCGAGCATCACTGCATGAGTTCCAAATTGGGCGAATCCTTTCTTTCATCTGTCCTGAATCTTCCAACATTCGGCTTCATTAGGCGTCCATGTGTTCTAGTGTAATGTGAGAGGAATAATAATAATAATAATAATTCTCTATCCACTTTCTCCAACACTGAAACGAAGGAGGAGGAATGGACTATGCAGAATTAGATAAATTAACAGGAAGGATTCGAAACCTGCGGGATCAGAGATTCTTAGAAGACTGGAGTAAATATATGAACTGTTTGAAAAGGAATTGTGATGAACAGATTACGCTAGTAGGATTGCAAGAAGTTTTGTAAGGTGAATTATCTGAAATATTACAAGAAAGACTATGAAAAGAATTATTAGTTAAGGACAATTAAATGCAACATAGAAATTAAGAAATGCAGAATAAGTGATAAAGAACGGAAAATCATCAGAGGTGTTGACGGAAGTCTAAAACATTGTATAAGATGAGAAGATATGTTGTATGACTGTTGGAACGGATATGTTAAAAAAGCAATAAAAGTGTGTGTGTGTGTGTGTGTGTGTGTGTGTGTGTGTATAAACTAAGGATGAGGAAGCAGAGACATCACCTTGCCAACAAAGGTCCGTATAGTTAAAGCTATGGTTTTCCCAGTAGTGATGTATGGAAGTGAGAGCTGGACTATAAAGAAGGCTGATCGCCGAAGAATTGATGCTTTTGAATTATGGTGCTGGAGGAGACTCTTGAGAGTCCCATGGACTGCAAAAAGATCAAACCTATCCATTCTTAAGGAAATCAGCCCTGAGTGCTCACTGGTGGGACAGATCCTGAAGCTGAGGCTCCAAGACTTTGGCCACCTCATGAGAAGAGAAGACTCCCTGGAAAAGACCCTGATGTTGGGAAAGATGGAGGGCACAAAGAGAAGGGGACGACAGAGGACGAGATGGTTGGACAGTGTTCTCGAAGCTACCAGCATGAGTCTGACCAAACTGCGGGAGGCAGTGGAAGACAGGAGTGCCTGGTGTGCTCTGGTCCATGGGGTCACGAAGAGTCGGACACGACTAAACGACTAAACAACAAGGATGAGGAAGCTAGCTAACAGGGCCACTCCCTGTTCTGGTCGTAAGTAAGAAGGCAGGCAGGTGGGGTCTGGCTGAGGGCAGCTTGAATTTGGTGGGGCAGTGTCCCATTTGCCCAAATGGATCAGCCTTCACTGACCTTAGGAGCACAGGAACCTGCCTTATACTGAGTTCTATCTCAGTATTGTCCACACTGACTCGCAGTGGGTCTTCAAGGTTACAGTCAGAGTATTTACAGCCCTATCTGGAGATGCCTATCTAGGACCTTCTGCATAGAATCATAGAATTATCAAGTTGGATGAGACCCTGAGGATCATCTCTTCCAACCCCCTGCAGTGCAGGAATATGCAGATATGGAGGAGACAGGGATCGAACCCGCAACCTTGGCATTGTCAGCACCACGCTCTAACCAACTAAGCTATTGCATGCAAAGCAAATGCTCTACCGTTGAATTGCAGCCCTCCCCCCAGCCTTCACTAAGTGTGATCATGGTATAATCATTGGTCTCTGGTCACGCCCTTTTAATTTCTAAACAAAGAATTGGATCCTAGATCAATCGCACCAAATGGTTAGTCTGGCTCCCTACTAAGTTACTTACCCTGCACTTTTAGGTCTCAGAATGGACTTGAGAGGCAAAGTGGTGATGCTCCCCAATGAACAAATGACTTTTAATTGTTGTTTTCTTGCTGATTCTCACTCCTTACCTGCCTCCAGAAGCCTGTTGTTATTTAATGAAAATGAAGGACAGGCTGATCATGTTTATTTAGACGCACTGCCAAACAGTGTGCAAACTTCATCCATCATAAGCTTCCTATGAATCATGCATAAGGCTCAACTGCAAGATCTTTTTACAAGAACTTTCGGATGAAATCTGAGGACTCAGGGAGATGGTGGGCAGCAAATGATTTCCTGAAGCCAGATGCTGGTCTCTGGCTGACGTTTTTCACTTCCACTACTGTGTAGTTTGAGGTTCTGGTAGTGGCAACACCAGAACCTAGTGGCTGCCATTTTTCTCTCTGTCAGGAAACCAGGAGTGGGGAACCTGAGGCTCTCCAGATATTGTTGAATACCAACTCCCATCAGCCCCAACCAGCCTGGCCAATGACCTGGGGTGGTGGGAGTCATGTCCAGCAATGCAGGTTCTCCACCACTGATGTGAGAAGGAGGTTACTGCTCTGATCATCATGCAACGTTGTTCTGAAGCCCACCAGAATGATGGAGATGCTTCCTACTTTCATTTTAGGCAGAATCCCTGGAGAAATAAATGGCTTCCGCTAATCTCTGGGAGGCCATCACAATACCGGTAAAGCACAGTATTCATGTTTTCCTGGTGTGGGTAGGTGTGACTGCAGTGTTGTTTCTTCCCATGATGCCAAGGAATGTGAGAGACCCTGAACCACTTGGAAGTATCCCATGTTGCACCTCCTCTTAGCACCAGCAGTAACTCATTTCCCCAAGTGTTAACACTTAGGGATGTAAAAAGCCATTGTTTTCCATTCTGCGCCGCGTGCGTCATATACAGCACTGTTTCCATTCCACTGCAATTCATCTTCCACTAAAAACTACAATACAGTAGTACCTCAGGTTAAGTACTTAATTCGTTCCGGAGGTCCGTACTTAACCTGAAACTGTTCTTAACCTGAGGCACCACTTTAGCTAATGGGGCCTCCTGCTGCCGCCTCGTCACCGGAGCACGATTTCTGTTCTCATCCTGAAGCAAAGTTCTTAACCTGAAGCACTATTTCTGGGTTAGCGGAGTCTGTAACCTGAAGCATATGTAACCTGAAGCATATGTAACCTGAGGTACCACTGTATTCGTTTTTCTTTCTGCTGCAGCAAAATTATGTAACTTACATTATTTATATAAACTGCATAAGGGAGTCGGGCACACTTCACGAGGGACGGCATTCCACAAATCAGAACCACCACTGAGAAGGCCCTGTCATGAGTCAAGACCTGCTGACAAGGCCTCACCTGCCGATCACAGAATTTGAGATGGTTGATATTGGTGAAGGCACTCTTTTAGGTACTTGGGTACCAAGCCATTGAGGGCTCTGTATGCCGGTACATACAACTGGGTCTGGTAGCTCAATGGCAGCCACTGCAGCTCTTTCAGAACCAGTGGCATATGGTCCCATTGGGCTGCCCCACTTAGCCCGCCTAGCAATGTTGTTGGTGACTTGTGGAAGTCTGTTGGTAGTTCACCACACCTCAACCAGGGTGATGTATCAGCAGACTATGTGGATCCCCGGCAGAGCCTTCCAGAGATTTCCTGCTCCCAGCTGAACAGCTTCTTCCAGAGTCCCCAGTTAAGGGAGGAAACAGTTCAAAGCAACAAAGCATTTATTGTTTCCATACAAAAGACTAAGGCAACTACTATTATCCACTAAATACAGTTGTTCTGGATTTTGAAGTAGAGATACATATGTGCTGAGAGATTCACTAACACTATCGCCACGATAGCTCACGCTATTGTGTAAAAACCACGGACTCTCACAGATTCAGAGTCAAACCCTGACAGCAAACAGGGCAGGAGGGCGTGCAACAGGACAGCAGAACATGGACAAGACATCATACAATGAAAGCAATGCCCCAGAGACTAGGATCCCCATGTTTACATGTAGGCCTATTTCCTGAACCAATGAGAGGGCGAATGACTCAGCAAGTCATACGCTCAACCTCGCAGGTGTTGCTATGGTAACCCAGTGCACCTGACACCCTTATCTCAGGACATCCAGATGTGGGGGCTCTGCTTCTCAAGACGTGAGCCCAAACACTGTGTAATTTAACCCGAGTTTTACCTCTTTTTTCCCTACTATAACAAGGTAAACAGAAACGGTGAGGTGCTCTTGCCAGTGGCAGGCAACAATAGCTGATGGTTACTTCCAGCTGTTTGGCTTGACGAGGTGCCATCTGTTCCACAGGCTGGGAATACAGCTGTGTGCGCCAAAGTAATAAAAGCAGGAATCCAGAGTCTGGGACTTAGCGTAGGTCCCTTGGGGTACCCGTTGTCACTTTCCTCCCACCTCCAAGCCATCTCGGAAACGGTGATATTACTGACACTGCTGGGGAAAGAGTGAGACTTGTGTCCCAGAAGGTCTGCACTACCAAGCCTCAGAAGGTCAACACAAAACCTGCACAGCCTTTTCAGTTCATTGATTACACCAATCCCAGAGGCAAGAGAAAGCACTTAGATTTCCAGCAGAGACAGAACAGTAAGAAGAATTCTGGGTGTCCTTTTCATCTATCCCTATATATATATTTCTCCGAGTTTTGCAGCCCAGTACCCAGATTCTGGTCTAGACTCCAGCTGTTTCAGCTGCTACGCTTTGCTTTTCTCTACTTTTGATTGCTAAGGGCTCGGGGAGCTGAAAAAAAGAAGATTGGATTTGTTTTCTTTTCAAATAATCAAGCCAGTTTGTTGGAATATTTACTTTGTAAGTCACAAGCGATGCCGAAGCAGGAAGTGTGAGTGTTGCTTCCTGTTTTCATACTTCTGTAATATCCGAAAACGGATCTTGTAAATCTTCCCTAGGGGGGGAGTGAGATGTGCCTCCATGCACAATTCTTGACTGATTGGTCAAAGCTAAGTAAATACGGATCCATTCTTTGAAGAAAACCATATTTGTATTTTAAATGCATGGGTGTATATACATATTCACAAGCGTTTGGTTTGGCCCGGGATGCATACTGTCTCTTATCTCATTTGTCTTTCTCCCCCTCCGACAGTGCTCATATATACCCAAGTGTGGCAAGAACTTTGAAGAGTCTCTGTCCCTCGTGAATGTCGTCATGGAGAACTTCAGAAAGTACCAGCACTTCTCCTGTTACTATGACCCCGAAGGCATTCAAAAGAATGTATTGCTAACCAAACTCTACAGCTCCAATGTGCTGTTCCACTCCCTCTTTTGGCCAACTTGTATGATGATAGGAGGGCTTGCTATCGTTGCCATGGTCAAGTTGACCCAGTATCTGTCCCTCCTCTGTGAAAGGATCCAAAGGATCAACAGATAGAAGCAGCCGGCTCGCTTCCGGGATGGATTGACAGCTGAAATACTGTTGTTGTTTTTTTTCATTCTTCACCAAAGAACCTTAAGTTTGTAACGTGTACGTCTGTTCTAAGTTCCTTATATTTTTTATGAAGTAGAGCAATAATGAAAAAAGGCTGTTCTATATGCAAACGTGATGCTGTTATTATGCAGGTGATGGGAGAAGGAATCGCCATTTGCGTTGGCCGTCTACATAATCTTGGTTTACGCTGCAAAATCGGTACTTCTTTCTTTTTTCTTTTCCCTTTTCTTCCTTTCTCCTTTCTTTTTCTACAGCCAAAATAGGGCTCAGTGTGACCCATTTGCCAAGCCTTGTCGATGAAACGCATCACCATTTCGTTGCAAACCCATTCTGGAGGGATGTATTACATTGCTGCGTGTGTGTCCATGCGAACCGTTTAAGTTCCACTTAAGGCTGCAAAGGGAGAAGGCGTGGGGAGTAGAAGGAAATTTGGAGGGCGGTGAGAGAGGGTTGATTTGTCTGGCTGAACTAAGATGGATTCAGAAATGTGGTATCTCCAGCTGCCTCCTAAACCAAGGTCAAAGGGCAGCCACACATTAGCAGGAAGTCAGGTTGTGCATCCTCTGCGCATCCAGACCCTGACCCAGATAACGCTAATCAAACTTCACCACCGCTAAAATCTTTAGGACATTTTAGCCATGGTTGATTTTCTTGGGATGTGAGCAGAACTTACTTTCTTCTGGATTGCAGGGAGAGGGGGGACCCTCAAAGTTCTGGATCAGAGCAATTGTCTTCATGTTGGCTTCATGCTCAGGGTTAAGCTTTCCCTTCCAATGTTTTAGACATTTATTTGCAATATCTTGGACTCACAGATCATTATCTACCAAAGCTACAGCCAAAAGAGCAAACCCCACAAATCGCATTAATCTACCAAACCCGTCGACTCCATTCATCTCCTGAGCCCTGTTGGCAGAGATGGGACCAGAAAACACTTTCCGTACAAGTTTATTCTCTGTATTTTTTCCCCTTGTATTTGCTACCATATCACTGTAAAGAAGAACTAAAACAAAAAACAAAAATACAACCCATAGTCAGCTATTTTTTCATTTTTTACTTCCAACTATTTTAGATTTTTTTACTGTATATTTAAAAGAAAAAGAAAAAAAAGAATACTAGACAAGAGGACAAAAACATATATTAAAACTAGTGGTGTATTGTAATACGAATATGTTATATTTTATTATTTCTTTTATTAACTGAAAGTGAGAAGTGCCCTTCTTGTATTTCGTAATGTCCAAACCTGGATATGCTTGTCACTAAGAAGAGCAGCGTCAGGGGCGGGGGGAGTCTTAGAGGCCGTTCACAGTGGCATTTCCACTCAGATAAAACTTAGGTCACATCTACACCATAAACGTAAAGCTCTCTTATACAACTTTAACAGTCAAGGAGAATCCTGGGAACTGTTGTTTGTTAAGGGTGCTGAGAACTGTAGGTCTATGAGGTCAGCGCCCATAGCAGACTACAGCTCCCATGATTCTTTGCGGGATTTGAAGTGGCATGAGAATGTGGTTGTGACCATTCTTGCAAAACATCCTTCAATTTGAGAGGCTAGTAAAGAGAATGGGTAGCATATAATATTATTCCTAGAGAAGTGGGCTTTTTTAACCAGTACACAGAAAAATAAAAATTCAAGAGCATATTGGGCAGGGAGGGGATGAAATTCACACGATTTACTGAATTGCGGTAAGGCTGCAGAACCAGGAACATGCATAAATCATAGCTGCTTCCAGATGACCTATTTATTGTGCATTCTGATTTTCTTGGAGGGGTTAGACGACATTGTGTCAAGGCAAATGGTACCCCCCGCTTTCTGCTGCATTTTCCCATCACTTTACTTATCACAAAAAATCTGATGTTTGGGGGAAGCGCAAGATCTCCAGACCAAGTTTGATTACGCAACCTGAATTTGCCAACATACGATTGAATCCCACCCGAAAAGAGGGTCCGTCTGGAAGCACCCTATGTACATGCTCTGAGGTATGCATTACCACTAGGGAACACTAAGCGGCTGCCTAAGGAGACACTTTTCAAGTGGTAGTAGCAGGTCTTGTTTCTGTTGTTCCAAGCTCCGCTTCGGTACAAGCGCTTGAAAAGAAAAGGTGGTAGATTTGGTGGTACATAGAACCAGAGAATAGTAACACAGCAGGCAAAAGATCCAAGCCACCATATGAAGGTGGAGAGAGTGGTAGGTGGAGTGGGTCACAGTAAAGCATGAGTAAAGCGTGAGTAAAATGTGAGTAGGTGACAACTCATCAGATATTGGGAGGAGTGGAAGTCACAAAATGGAAGAGAAAAAAGAGGAATATCAGTCTGGGGCAGTTTTGAGAGTCAATGTTGAAGCCCAATATGCCATAGGGATAAATGGGAAAGGTGAGCAAGGCAAAACTTTCAATGAATTTTTCCACCCATTCTCTGTGGGATTACAAATAGTATTCCCAACTTTTGTTAGATTATACTCAAAAGACAATCTTGTCAGGTTCAGGTCATGGAACGCCTAAAAGGCAGAATGTGAGGTATTCACCAATCATCCCCTAAAATTACCATAGAACTTTTTTAAAGGAACTATTTATATGTGTATTGGAAGCAAAGGTTAACCTTTTTCTTTTTTTTTGCCAAAAGGAGAAAGCACATTTTATCTGTCCAGCTCGTCCATTCTCCGCGTACTTCTCCCCCCTCCTCTGCCGCCTCTCCAATAATGTAACGCTGGGGGGAAACTTTATGGTGTTACAAGACTCCATGAACTGTTCAAGTGTCGTCTGAGCTGTACAATTGAAGTCTGCAGCAGTGAAATTAATCTTTGATCTTGTAATCCATAATGCAGCTTTTTTTCTCAGGCAAATAAATTCCTGGGGCGTGTAATCAGGACTTCAAAACTGTGTGATTTGGTACAAAAATTATTCAATTAAACCTTTGAGATTTCAATATGCTTGGCAATCTGAAATGGCCTCTTTTTTTCTTCCTTCCCCATTCCCCCCCCCCAAACCCCCATTTGGTAGGATCTATGTCAGGGGTCAGCAAACCTTTTCAAACCTTGTGGAGGGCTTGACTATGTTTTGGGGAGAGAGAAAAATGAACAAATTCCTATACCCCACAGATAACCCAGAGATGCATTTGAAATAAAATCACACATTCTACTCCTGTAAAAACCACAATGATTCCCGGACTGTCCGTGGGCTGGGTTTAGAAGATGACTGGGCCTGAACCGGCCCCCGGGCCTTTGTTTGCCTACCCATGTTCTATGTTCCCAGCGAAATCCCAGCAAAATTCAGCCTACGATTAGCCTCTCTTACTGTCTTTCATACATACCTGGGAAAATTCGAGCCAAAGTCTTCTGAGTAATTAGTACTGCCATCTTATGCAGTCTTGTGCAACAATCTGTGAGCAAGACTCATTGAATGCAGTCGCATCTTCTAAACCCAAACCATATACCCCGAGTGTAGGGTTGCCATACGTCCAGAATTCAGCCCTCGCAAATTCAGCCTCAGATATCAGTTTCTCTAAATAAAATAACACCACACACCTTTATTTGCAAGCAAGATGCTGCAGTCCTATTGACTGTTTTGTTTATCCTTCCCTGAATTTTCTAGAACAGAAGTCAGACGCCTGATGCCTGGGTGGCCAAATTCAGCCCTCCAGAATGCTCTGTCTGACCCTTGGAACTGGCTCCAGACCACATATGTCACTGGCCCTGCTTTGCCCTCCATGTCTTGCTGAAATCAGTCCTTGAATTCTGATGATTGACCTGGATGGAGACCAGAGAGGTGGGTGGGTGACACCTACTGTGTCGAGGTTAAATTTACACTCATTGCTCCACCCACTTCTGCCAATCCCATGTGGCCCTCACAAGGTGACCCTGAAGGTAATGTGGCCCTTGGGCTGGAAAAGCTTCCATGCCCATTCTAGAAAGATCTTGGGAATCGCAATTTGGAGACATGTTCAAAATTTCACACTGCCAGGTCTCCACCCAAGGGACGCCAACATGGGGAAGTTGAACATTGTCATGTGAATCCATCCTCGTTTGTTTTTTTGCTGACAGCAGTTGGCCTATGGGTGGGGGTCCTTTATTTGTGTTTCTCATAGCAGAACAACACATAAGTGATATTTTGAGCATTGTTTGCTCACAACATGGGAGCAAAGAGCACGGCCATCGCTAGCAGTCCTACAGTTGATATTGTACACTCTTTCCCCGATGTCCGCTATGTGCCTTTGCACATAGCACTCTGAATGCACAAAAGATTCATCAGGAAGCATTGGGGTTAACCCTGCGCCCCCCGACACAAACGTTTGTGCTCAGGGAGCAGCATGCGACATTCAGAGCGACATTCAGAGTGGGCCTACTCCTTGCTCCCGGTGTTGACGTACACAAGAGCAAATAGCACCCAAACAGGGCTAGAATATTCCAGAAAAGTATTTGTGTTCAGGTTTGGCTTGTGAGCCCTTCTGGCTTTTATTTACTCTTCCCTCCATCTCCGTTTATGAACAATAATTAAAGGCTCACTACATTTCTGTCATGGGTGACCAGCTTGGGGGACAGAAAAGTTAACTGAACTGTTCAAGGCCACCGGTTCTGGTGGAGACAGGATTGCAGAGCTTCTGACCTCTAATTGCTTTTCCTGGGAGCCGAGAGCTTTGTCCAAGTAATCTCTGAGAAGTGTGGAAAAGCAACAAAGGGGCACAAAAATAGAGAACAGCAACCAAGTCGGAAAAAATAGCTCAACTTATTTTCTGGGCAGAAGTATTGCCTTCTCCCTGAGGTTGCCAAATCTTCCTTAAAACTCAACAGAATTCTGAATGCTCTCCCTGCTGTCAGGACCGGCAGGGGAATTTAACTGTTCCAGTTCTCCGGCTGGTAATTCACTTTAAATTATTGTTTTACCTCACTCAATCCAATTACTTCACGTTATTTCGCTGCCCCACCGTTCTCTGTGCTAATGTCAACAAAATGATTACAGGCTGCAATGGCGTCAAGATGTTTCACCCACAGGAGCGCCGGTAAAAATGTTTATGGCCTGACATATTGAAAACAGCATTTGATGTGTAAATGTCGAGGATAATCAGCTCTCCTGTCACTAACAAACAAAATGCGGGAAATATGCAGCCGCTAAAATGTCATCCATGGGACTTTGAAAGCTGCCTTCGCGCCTGCCATGTAAATCCTCAAGCAAATGGACTGTGTTTTTTTGTCAATCATCTCCTGGAGGGTCGCATCTGATGAGAGCTATTTGCCAGTTGTTGCTCTTACATAATGGATCTCAGAAATTTGAATAAGGATCTCAGCACTCAGCTGCCTTCCCCCACCACCACCACCCCATGTGCTGGAGCTTCTGAAATCGCAGGCGGGTGGGTAGATTCTGAGAAAGACCTTTGTGGTTCTCAGGACCAACCTGGAAAATAACACCTCCTATTGAAAACAACCCCCTGAACATGTCTTTTTTTTAAAAAAATTAAATTTTATTATTAATTTTATTAATATTCTCCACACAACAACAACAAAAACAACAAAAAATAACAATACACAAAACACAAAAACAAGCATACAAAAAAACACAAATCCAAATCTTACAAATTACAGTGGTACCTCGGGTTAAGAACTTAATTCGTTCCGGAGGTCCGTTCTTAACCTGAAACTGTTCTTAACCTGAAGCACCACTTTAGCTAATGGGGCCTCCTGCTGCTGCTACACCGCCGGAGCACAATTTCTGTTCTCACCCTGAAGCAAAGTTCTTAACCTGAGGTAATATTTCTGGGTTAGCGGAGTCTGTAACCTGAAGCGTATGTAACCCGAGGTACCACTGTAATAATATAAACACTAAAAAGAAAAACAAACATTGACTTCCACCAATCCCACAGCACCTCCTTTACCTCTCATTGTGTCTTCCTGTTTTCCTATTTTCCTTATCATCTCTATCCTCTCTCTTATCCTTTCACTTCACAAGGTTATTCCAGACTCAGCCAGATTTCTGTCCTCGAACCTTGGCTTTTAAGGTATTCATTTAGGCACTCCCATTCCTTTTTCACTTCACTCCCTGCTCATGTCTTTCTGTCTAGAGGAACCCCTTCACCAGTCTGGTGCTCTTCAAATGTTTTCGACTACAGCTCCCATAAACACCAGACAGTGCTGGCTGGGACAGATGGGAGTTGTAGTACAAAACAACTAGAGGGTACCAGGTTGATGAAGGTGGTAATTAGGCATGGGGAAGAAATTTAATTCCGTTCACATGGAAAGGCAAATCTACAACATTCGCACTTCCTGAAACAAAACGCAAACCGAAATACTGCTACCCTTCAGAATTCGCCTTTATTTGAATTTTGTGGTGCAGTTCTCCAACCAAATAAGATTTGCAAAAATGTAGAGTTTGGGGGGAATTAATAAAAATGAATAGATTACTGAAAACAACATACAAAAATGTAGGTAAAAAGGTAAAAGGTAAAGGACCCAGTCAAAGGTGACTATGGGGTTGCAGCGCGCATCTCGCTTTCAGGCCAAGCAAGCCGGCGTTTGTCCAAGACAGCTTTCCAGGTCATGTGGCCAGCATGACTAAACCACTTCTGGCACAACAGGACACTGTAATGGAAACCAGAGCACATGGAAACGCCGTTTACCTACCTGCCACAGCAGTACCTATTTATCTACTTGCACTGGTGTGCTTTCGAACTGCTAGGTTGGTAATACAAAAGTGTATTATATTAGGGAAAACTAGGGAGTGCATGGTGCTGTGGTCTAAACCACTGGACCTCTTGGGCTTGCCAGTCGGAAGGTCGGCAGTTTGAGTCCGTGTGACAGGGTGAGCTCCTGTTGCTCTGTCCCAGCTCCTGCCAACCTAGCAGTTTGAAAGCATACCAGCATGAGTAGATAAATAGGTACCACTGTGGTGGGAAGATAAAAGGCATTTCAGTGCGCTCTGGCACCCATCATGCTGTCCCATTGCGCCAGAAGCAATTTAGGCATGCTCGCCACATGACTTGGAAAGCTGTCTGTGGACAAACGCCGGCCCCCTCGGCCTGAAGCGAGATAGGTGCCACACCCCATAGTCAAGTTTGACTGGACTGAACCATCCAGGGGTCCTTTAACTTTACCTGTATTAGGGGAAGTTGCTTGCAATAAGTGTGTGCATAAGTAAAAACTGTGCGCAACCACATTTGTAGGAGAAATTTGCACTATTATGCTGGTTAAGTATTAAGGGGCGGGGCACAAATTGCTGCAGAAATGTGGAGAGCTGGATTTAAGACTGGAACATGAGAAACTGGGAGAACCAGAATGGACAGATCCTTCCATCCCCAGCTCTGGTAGACCTTGCATTTGACCAGATGATGGGCTACAAAGCATGATAATGTCAAGACAAAGATGAGGTTCTATTGGAATGACCAAGGAGGAGAGAGCTGGGCTCGTCTTCAACGGGAGAAAGTTATTTACCTTCATTTCAGAGGGGAAACCATCCAGGAATCAGCCTATCAAGGCCACAAACTAACGTAGAAATGAAACTGGGGGAAAGATGACTGGCTTGCTTGGTATTTGAGTGAGGTTAACTCTGGGGTCGTGGGACGCAGGTGGCACTGTGGGTTAAACCACAGAGCCTAGGACTTGCCAATCAGAAGGTTGGCGGTTCGAATCCCCACAACGGGGTGAGCTCCCATTGCTCAGTCCCTGCTCCTGCCAACCTAGCAGTTCGAAAGCACGTCAAAATCCAAGTAAATAAATAGGTACCGCTCCAGCAGGAAGGTAAACGGCATTTCCGTGCGCTGCTCTGGTTCACCAAAAGCGGCTTAGTCATGCTGGCCACATGACCCGGAAGCTGTACACCGGCTCCTGTGGCCAGTAAAGTGAGATGAGCGCCACAACCCCAGAGTCAGTCATGACTGGACCTAATGGTCAGGGGTCCCTTTACCTTTATACCACTTTAAACAGTCATGGATCCAAAGAACCCC